ATGTCGTCGTCTTCGACAGTTTCATCATAATTCAGTTGAAATGGGTCTTAAAAATCTTTCTTAACATCAATAAGCTTCTTCTGAAGAGCCTTTTTAATGCAATCCAGGTGTTCTATTAGCCAGGTTGGATGTTTTTCACTATTCATAAAGAATGCAATCGATACTTGTCACCGATACTCGTCAGCAAACTGCAGTTGCGAAGTTGTTTCATGTTTGTTCTCGATGTGGATAGTCATGGGAAGAAATTGATAATGGTTCTCCAGAAGGAATTTCTGCCTGATGATCGCCACCCCGATTACCAACTAACTGATCATCTGTGTAGTCAATGTCCTCAGCCATGTATCCCTTACTTCACTTATAAGCCAAAGCCATAAGGTCAAATCATCCAAAAAGAAAGACTCGAATAGATATGACGAAGTGACTTTTAGTGAATTACAGGAATTTCAGGAGCATTTTAATTTGTAAGTAAGAAAAATAATAATTTTTAGTTCCATCAGTAGGGTGACAGTATTTTGCATGAAGTAAGAAGTAAAAAGTAAGAACTCCCCTGCGAGGCTTTCCAGTGATACAAGACAAAACTATAATTCATTATCAAGTATATATAAAAATATCTGCCTTTTTAAAATTCCTAGGATACAATAAAAAGTTAAAACCTACAAAACGCTTGTGGGATCAAGAAATTTATGTAACAATATTTGCCTCAGTATCTGTTTAAAATCCCCGTGATTCTTACTTAATCTGAGGTCTTTAGCTAGGCTGTTCCACAAACTGACAATTCTGTACTGGAATGATCACTGACCACCAGCTATTTTAAATAAAGGGATATTTAATTGTTGTGAATTGCGTGTCATGCGGCCAGAAACTCGGCCTCAGTCAACTAGCTTGGATGTGAGGTAATCTGGGACTCACCCTGTCATACATTTAAACGTAAAAACAGTATCCCTTAGAATGCAGGTACCTTAGTGCCAACCGTTTTTCGATGGCATTGGAAAATGGAATTCAAATTCCATTTCCATTTTTTGTTCACATGTGACATGGAAAAACGGATTTGATTTTCATTTTTCGTTTTCGCATGACATTGAAAAACAGATCTGAATTTCGTTTTCCGTTCACACGGAATGGATTTGCTCCTCTCTCAGTTCCACTTCCACTAGGAATGCCCCCAAATGTCCACTCCAGGTACTTTTTTCCTTGTGTGATCGTCAATCGGATGGGATTGGGAATCTTTTCTAGTAGCCTCGGCATGACAACTTCTGAGTAGCTCCATTCTTCCACTCCTAAGGCCTGTAAAACTCTGCACTTCATTTCTGCAAAATCGAAGTGGCTGCAAATTCTTGGCTGGTCACTCTTGTCGAAGACAGGACATGGATTCAACAGTTTGCTTATTAGTGCCCTCTGAATCACGACCTTTTTCCCATAACGTTTCTTTACGAGCTCTATAGCTAACTCGTGATTTGCTGATGTCAGTGCAAATCCTCCAACTGCCGATTTTGCCGATCTCAGAAGCAAGCTCCTAAGGAAAATTTGTCTACGTTTGAAAGCCCATCGTTCATATGTAGGGCACTCTCAAATGAGTCCCAGAACTCTTGCCACTCACAGAGTTTTCTGTTCAACTTTTTTACTTCTAATTTAGGAAGCTTTGCTCGTAGTCTTTTGTTGTCTACTTATAAGTTGGTAACGTTAGCTTGGATTTACGTAGTGCGGTGCTAATGGTGAAGCTGGTAGAGCAGGTTGCACTGTCAGTCGTTCTTCGATGGCAGCTAGCATTTGTGTTGCGTCTGCCCTCAATCAGCCGCTCTATTCAATCTTGTCTGCTGCTTCTTCTCCTGTTACTTTCTCGTATGCCGCTAACTCAGCCAAAATCTGTTCAAGCAGCACAATCCTTTGAAGCTGTTCTCCTAAACTAGCTGTCCATTTCAGCAGTTCTGTTTTTCTAACGGTTCAATATTTTTCATGTGAACACTCGTCAGCCTCTTCCATGATTTTCGTGAGGAATCCATGATGGCCTGCTCTTACTTTTTTTTTTAGACGTTCTCTATTGCAGCTCGAAGAACCAGTTGTTGTGGAATCTTCCACTGTGTTTGGAATATCTCCACATTTTGTAGAGAACTGGAACTAGTTAGAATAATATCGAAAAGGACTGGCTCTAGCCAAGATGATGTAATCGCAAGATGGCGGAAAACGCCACCGACACGTATTAAAAGAGTTAGAAGTTTGGAGTAATTTGTGGTTGATTTAGGCGTGTAGTCTAACAATTTGCTGGTTCAATAAACAATCAGGACTGTATCTTTCACTTTCTTTGCCTTATTGAGTTTGTTCATTTGTACATCATAATCATTCTAAACATTCTACCCAAAATTACAATGCTCGCTAGTTTTATTGCTGCCACAAGTACACGCCTTGGCTGTGTATGTCCGCAAGCAAACCGAACTTGTCAAAGGCTCACTGTTACTTCTCGTGTCTAACGCCTGAGTATGACACCTATTTCCTTAACGTATCCCTGATTATCTACCCTATTATTATTTACTGCGCATAAACCGATTACAATCAAAACCACTAAGACTGATAAAAACAAACTGCGTCAATTCCATTTATCATAGGATGTGGTTATATGACTAAGATAATGTTTTACTTGCAATGCAAAATCAACTGCTCAGTAATTACAAAAAATAATACTAATAACGTGTTACATGTATTTGCCTAATGATTTTCCAAGAAGCTATCCTTTAAATCCCATGCAGATGGCAGAGCTTGCGTGATGAAACAGGCCTTATTATCTGTAACAAAGAAAAAATATCATTATTCACTGTACAATACAACCATGATCTTAGAAGATGTAAAGTTAACTGACAATTGTGGAGTTGACAGAGTTCATTTCTTACTCACAATATCAACACTTCCATAAAGTCCAATCCATACTACGTTTTTAGATGTTAATTGTATATATTTATGCATTTTTTGACTTATTTCAGTTGTTTTTATTTAGTACTTCCATGAACTACTGAGAATTTTTTTACGGAAATTGCGCCATAAGTGTCAATTGATATTAATATTATTGTTACTTTCAAATACCACCTTTTTTTTCTCCCAAGAAATGCATGTTACCCCAACCTAGAGTTATTATAAAGAGCCATTAACTGTTTATTTTATCAATCTTTTTACAGAGTATGATACTTTTACCAAGTAAGTCCAACATCAACCTTTACAGTAGATTCTTTTAACTGTCCCTAAGAGCTCAAAGAAACTAATAAATACTTTCCTGTGCCAGTTCTTTGAAAGTGGCTGCTGAAAAACACGAAATAAAATTCATTGGCCTTGGGGTACCAGATATCATTGGGTTTTGATCAAGAAATAAGTCAGAGTTTTGAGGCCCTGGTGATACAACCTGCCCGATATCAATAAGCTATTGCACTATTCGCCTACCACAGTGAATTTGGAGAGTGCATTTCTTAATGCAGACATCACAGGGTCCACTCTGCGCAGGGAGTGCAGAACATTAACTCTTTGAACCACCAATCCTTGTTGTCTTGGCATAACAGCACAGATGTTTGTTATAATGGCGTCCAGATCAGCAGCTAATGGAGAAGAAAATTTTTTTCCTTTGACTCTCATTCCAAATTCATGCTGCCTTCGCCGCAATGTCCTGTCAGAAACGCTAAGTGCAATATCGCTCCAGCAAAATAGCTGTTGATCATGTGTTAAGGTTTCCTAAAGAAAAGAAAAACTCATCAATAGGGTTGGGTGCCTTCATGTTAGCTGTTAACTACTCTGACTGAGGAGCCCAGATCGTGACCACCTAGCTCAAACTGCTGCAGGAATAGATAAATGTTCTGCGATGATTGAGGTTATTGTAGGGGAAAAACCTATTACACTGCTAATACTTGTATTATAGCATGCCCAATGATGTCTTGATTCCCTCGTCCTATGCTACAATAAGCATGGCCACCAATCATCATTGAAAAGGCTTTACCTTTATCTTTCTCAGGATGTAGTATAGGTAGGGATCTTTTGGATTAGAATCTGTTGGCGTTTCCTTCAAAGAAAAGCAGAAGTATACGGAGAAATTCTTACCAATCAAAAATTAGAGAACTACTTTATCTCTCCATAACATTTACAAGCCAACAAGTAGTAATCTATCAGACAAACAAGAATGGGGAAAAGCCAGTTGATCACTGTTTTTGTACAAAATAACAAACTACAGTATCAACCCTAGCAAAAAAGAATGCCGTGATCATGCATCACGGACCAGACGAATTTTAGGGGAGATGAACAAACGTGATTATTGATCTCAGTAAGAAGTTGTGATCGTTCCTGAAATTAATCACTGTCAACAAACAACTCACAGAATGCTAAAACAAAAAATGGACAAGCACAAAAAGTAAATTAACAAAGGACTAATATTGTTTCAAACTTCCACATACCTTTAATAGGCAAGGATGAAAAGGAGAGTGGATTACAGATGAATTAGTGACATCTACAAGTCTCCACGGACGAAAATGTGCGCATAACTTTGGATTATACTCTTTGTTTACACTTTTATTTAATCGAGGTGTAAAAAGTTCTACGTAATTGCCTTAAAGAATGAAGAATATTTGCCCAAAATGTTTTTCCTGTTCACACCCAAACTATACTTTTTTTTTGGAATAATTTTTGCAATTTCACTGCTCGAGTTTGTTAGGAAAAGACCTGTATTGAAACAGCAAGTTTCTGTTTTGAAAAATATCCATGCGCCATTGTCCTTGTAGTCACCTTGTATTGCTTGATGTGGCAGCAGACAGAAAAATCTAGGACATTAGGACCAAAGTTCTGAATATTTCCGTTTAAGAAAGGCCACAGTTTTTGGTCTCAGCTTGTCTTGATCATTTAAGGAGAAGTTTACTAGGATAAGGGAAGCGTTGGGTATCTTATCAGACCAAATCTCCCCTCCATGGCATTTCCATGGTCGCCATGCTGTCCTCCAGGAGCCTTTCAGATAGTCCACATGCGGACTTTTCCTTCTCCAAGTATTGCTGTCACCTTCCCAATGGCTGGTTGCTTTTTGGCAACAATGCAGCCACCTCTACATGACTGGGATCTGTATAAAAAGTGCAAGTGCTATATTTAAAAATATCATGAGAGCGCTGGTTTTCCACCTGAATTTATATCTTAAAATGATCGGCCTCTTACTGTCTCTACGAAATAATCATCAGAAACAGGGGACAATTATTACTAATCGGCCCCTGTCGGAAACCAAATATCATTTCCTGTGTGGTTTTGGTTTAGCTACATTATCATATAAATATAAGATAGAGAATGACACACACACTATACCTTATTTTCATACACATCATTTTGCCATCTCCGCCTGCAAATAGCAAAAGCTAGATGAGGCGGGCGGAGAGGAAAGGTTACAGCAATCATAACAGATAATATTGTGAAGTAACTAAATAAACTATGTGGATAAATAAGAATTACAGAAAAACAAGCTAAAGTTACAAAATATATAGTCTTACAGAATGATATTACAAGACAAATTTACTACTAACAGAACCTATCAATTATTAGTGCATTGAGTCGAGGATGCAGAATTTGCCTTTTTTTGTAGGAGAATGGGCCCTTCAACATAATCGTCCTCTGCATCCATTATCGAGAGCAAAAAGTCATGAAAATTTTTTTTGAAAGCTCCTTTGGTGAGTTGACGAAATTCGTTAGGAATTGCATTCCAAAGTTTAGCTCCAAACCTGGAAAAAGAATCTTGATTTAGATTCAGTCTTGAAGCTCAAAACGTGGGTCATGGATTTTTTAGTGAGAATAGAAACATGCATTTAACAATAAATCTGCAAAAAACAAGATGTTTATGCTTTGAATATAATGTTTTATACAATTTGCCTTGAAAGTTATTTTGTCGATAATAGAAAAAAATGTGTTACACTTTCCATTTGTAGCCTCTCTAACCACTTAGTGAGTGGAAGTTTAAATATAATCCATTATTTGGGCTCTTCTATGCTATCTGTTTTAGGGAAAACACATGGCAGACTTGAAGTGGCTTCCATTCCCACAAGTAATTCCAAATAGCCTATAGGAAGTAAGAACGGTCATGTCCTTTATCTGTATGTCATCAGGGAGTTAAATAGCTCCTGAAAGTAATAATAATAATAATAATAATGATTTATTAACAGATCCACTGGGTGACTCTTCCCTGTTAAATTATATTAATTACAATTACAAAATAACTCAAAATAAGTTATTTACAAATTATACAGTAGAGGCAGGATTAACGGAATCCAATTACAGTAAAACGAACTAATCGCTTTGTACTCTGTTTCTGAAAAAATTCCTTGAAAGTCTTAAAAAGGTTCTGTGTACAGTTTCTAATAGTTTTTGGTAGATTATTAAATAGCTTCGACGTATTATCTTGGAAAGTGCCGTTTTCGGTCAGGACCACTAATCTAATTGAATTGCTTGAGCGCAGTTTCTTGGGGCATTCCTGTTTTATTATTTTAAGATAATCTGGCCAAGTCTCAGCGTTATGCAAAGCTTTAAAGCATGATTTCAGGAGGTTCAGATCTCTTCCCTTATTGATTGGAAGCCATCCGATTTTAAGTACATCCCAAAAGTTCTTAACATAGTGACCGAGTACAAAACTTGCGGCAGCAAATTAAACCCGTTGCAAACAGCGAAGTAAGAATTGTCCATTCCACACTAGCATGCTAATGTATGCTAACGTAGAAGGGTACAACGAGTGGCATTCCATTAAATATACCCCTATATGACTGTACTCTCATGCCTTGGCATAATATACATCGGTTTTTGCGAAAGCAACAAGGTGTCTTGTTGTGTAACCAGGAGGGAACAGACACATTAACGGTATTTGTTGGGGAACTTGTAGGTACATCGCTAGGGAGGATTACTTTGTATGACTTTAAAAAAATGACACAATTGGTATGGAAAGCTATTTTTTGCCAAAATTACAAATGGCTGGAGTAAATCTTCAATCATTAGTGTATAATTACTAATCGTTGGTGTGAAACTGCGGTCGTTAGCGCAGAATTACTAATCATTGGTGTTAAACTGCAGTCATAACTGCAAAATTACTATTCGTTGATGTTCAACTGGTTGTAACTGCAAATTATTACTAATCAATGTTAAACTGCAATTAGGCAAATTATTAGGCAAAAATCGTCACTGTTAAAGTACAAATGGTCACCATCAACTTCAATTGCAACTGCTCAGCCGCAAATCGTTTTTTGCTACATTTTCATTACGGGTGTCTCGAAAACTAAGACCTAAGATCTCAGACCTAAGACCCCCTCCAAATCTAGAGGATGAAGACAAAATTAAAGTCATGCAAACATAACGTGTCGTGACTCACATAACAAAACATCCACAGAAATGACCCTTGAGACCTGTATATTGTATGTTTCTAAACTCTGTCATTTCAAGCGTCACAGTTTTAAATTGCCACAGACAAGAGATAGCCAGAAATTTCACGCGCAGGATAATTAAAAATGAGCTGATAAAAGATGTTCTACTGTTCTTGTTTTGAACATTCAAAGATTTCCTCAGTAGATATATCCATGATGATTAGACTTGTTTTAGTTTTCCAACACTCAGTTGTATTCTATTGCTCTGTTTGTTGCAATTTAATTTTAATCACAGAGTGAGGAACTTTATTTGTACCTAATATAACAAAACATTTTTGTGGGGCTGCCAACAGTACAAGATATACATTACTGCACACAAAATTGTTCAATAACCATTGCACATTTGAAAAACTCGAGTGCAGAATTAAACTTTATACCAAACACTAACACAGTGCACCGTATTTATCGGTAGAAAATCCATGGTTTTACAATGGTTAAAATGAATTTTCCCTAGTCCATATCTAAAAATCAGGGCGAATGCAACAAGCACACCCTCCCTTTACCTCAGTCATCACGTTTAAGGGAAATAAAGTAAACAATAATCTGAAAAAGCACAAGCAGTTTTTTCGTGTCACCACGGTTTCACTTCAGCTCCCTTTTTCTGCTCTCTTTAGTTGAACTCTAAAACTAAACTACAAGTCAACGAGTAAAACCAGAAATATGCAATGGCTTTTCCTGTATTATCACTATGGATTTCATATTCTGCTAATGCTTGGGTGCTCTTCCCGTGGGTGGCTTTATTTTTCGTCTCCAACAAACCCTATCGATTTTCAGTACTTCTAATTGGCCCAACATTACTAATCATACTCTTCCGCTCAAAAATGTATTATAAAGACGATAAAGTCACACAGCAAAGACGAGCTCCTGCTCAAGAATACTTAGCTGTGTAAGTTTGCTCCTCACTTCACTAGAAACTTTGAGAAGCATGGTACTGCTGAAATAAGGAAACCTTTCCATAATACAACTTCTTTTCACACAGTAATATTTAGTGGTGTACTTTGTGGAAGGTAGCTGTTTTCCTTTGTTAGTTGGATCTGGGTACACCCATATTCCTTCATACTCTAGTACAATGTCCAGTGGCACAATAATTGGTCGCCTTGGAATGTCGAACAGGCACTGTATGCATTCTACTGCTTTTGGACAATTGTTCAAGAAACAAAGCACCAGTGGACAATTGTTATATGGTGGAACTTTTGTACACGGCGCCTCCATAATAGTACTTGTACTGGTAATGCTGCCAGCCTGGCGTGCCTCCTTCCAGGCATTCCTTGACTTCCCCCCTTTTCCCCACTCCCTCTTTGGGTGACTCCAGCAGTGCAGATTTTGTTGCCTTACACTGTTCACCTTTTTGCGCGACACATTATGTTCAGGTGACTCTAATTTTGTCTTCGTCTTCTTTTAATTTTGGTCCTAGTTCTTAGTTTTCGAGATTTGGAGGGGGTCTTAGGTATTAGTGTTTGAGACACCCTTTCGTTTCTGTACAAATCGCCAATCACTGGTGTTAATATCAATCAATTATCGACTTGCAATCTTTGGCAACCAATTAAAACTTTGAAAATAATTAAACCAATTCCTGACTAATCAGAAGCTCTCTTGCAAATGCACAAAGTACGAAACAACATGTTGAAAGAAATTTGGTCTTTTCTGGAGGAAATTGATTCTGTTTTGTAGCAATGTGCCGCTCATGAGCCAATGCGGGATGCTGTTATGTTTTGCAAATGGCTCACAGCTTTGAAAATTGTATTACAGTTCTACAGCACATTGTTTACAACGAAAGATTTACTGGAACTGGACTTCTAGAGGAACTAGTTCTCTTGTTGTGTCGTTATAAAAGTGATGGGAGCACAAATTATTTACTATGGAAGTAACTAACTTATCACAGCCAACGTCAGAAGCACTTAAGTGGTGATGCCCATGTTCTGGCAGTAAGGGAAGACCCTTCATCCCATAAATTCTGATCAGGTAGAGAGAGTTTTTAATTTCAGTGGGTTTAGTGTGGAGGAAACTGTGCCTACCTTGCTCATCAGTCGAAGCACTCTCAACAGAAGATGAGAGGAGTTCTAAATATGTAAAAAGAGGGAAAGATACTGTTAACTGTTATACTTGAATCTGGACAATAAAATGCATCACTTAATTTTAGAGTATCCAACAAGTGGATTACTAATGCTGTTAGAACAGCTACTTAGAATAGGAGTGCGGGTTCCATGACAGATTAAGGGAGTCGCTGTTACATGTTGATCCAATACACAGCTTTGTAAAACAACTTCGTACTGTTGAAAACGTACTTACAGTGTGCCAAATGCCAATTCCCTTTGGCATATATATGGTTGCATTGTTTCATACAGTGGAGAATGGGTATACATGACGAAATAGATGCTCACACACGTCTTGTGCTTTATGGTCGTTTCGCCCAAAGTCTGTTCGCCTACGACTACAGTCGATTCGCCTATGTCTTACAACAGTTGATTCATATACTTTATGTGCGATCGCGCTTAGATGCTAGTCAGTCGATTCAATTCCTAAAGT